GCAATGACCATAGCGCGGCAGTTACTACAAGTTCTTTAGAGACAAGCTCACATTAAATAGCAAACCAATCATGTAAGCAAAACAGCAAAGAGCATTGTAAGAGAACTTTAGCACATAACGGGTTTTCAAATATGAGCAGTGGACCAACTCCAGCCAAAAAAATTAACAAGCTGGCAGCGTGTGCTACGAGACATTTTAAAAATGTTTATTTAATAGCTGAACATTACTTGGGGAAATGGGGAAGGCCATATTACGCATGATGAGTAAATTATTTATAATCATATTTAATTATTTACATGATCTCTGAAAAATTTGGTTCGGAAAAATTTTAAAATATGTGATCTTTCGTCACAGTCTTTTAAAACAGGATTTTTTCCTTTAATTGTTGCCAGTTTTCGGGTCAATGAATAATATAATTACTTTTTAGGCCCCTGCATATCAATTTAAATTGTTAAAAAACTGTTAAGTAACCACCACAACGATAAAAGAGAGTGAGAATAATATTCCAATAGTTACAAGTAGCTCTGTTGCATTTGATTGTAAGGAAGTAGGAGTAGAAGTGTCAATCAAAAAAATATTTTGTTAATGAGCCGCTGCGATTTTTCATTAACTCTGTGTTAAGAACTCAATAAGAACTAATACATATATATTACAGCTTACTTTCGCAAAATAAATGCAACGTTTTTTCTCCCACAAGGAATTCTAGAATGGTATAATGCAATTAATCGGATACTTTAGGAAGTCACATAGTAGTGGTTTATTAGGTCTACAAGTATAGGTGCAGCCGAAATATGTTGGCCGAAACCTTACAACTGCTTCAAAAATAAATAAGCTCAAGGACTTAAAATATTTCTATATATTCTAGTAGTATAACTAAATCATTTCAAATTTCAACATATTATTATAAACCACACTAAAGACACACAAGTATTCAATTCTTAAAAAGAAAGCGAGAAAATGTTTCACAGTCACACGTTCAAAAGTTCATAACTTTCATGTTGTTATGCCCACAAATTGACGACAAAGTTCTTGCAAATCGATTGTTGATAAGTTGCGGCACATTTTTTCTTTTTCTTTCTCTTCATTCCACTTCTGCTTTGTCTGCTTTGAATTTCACGATCATCACACCAGCCTATTATCGCCAGACGGTTTTACAACTCTTTAACGAAATCACGAAGGAAAAGTTTGGCCGCAAGTCCAAAAAAACGCAGTACCAATCTGCAACACAACAAAAGCAAAAGCGAACACATTCGGCATAAAAATAGCAATCAATTCATCCTGGAATACTATTCACTCACAAACACACAATACATTATATGTTAATAGTTTGTTTGCTAACAAATTTTTTCGTTTGCTAGCGGACTCGCGGTTTCTAGCAACGTCCATAAATACGAGTTTTGAAAAGTAAAACTTGCGTAGAAAAAATCTGTCGGGAAGAGTGGCTTGGTAAAAGAATTATAAAAGGCAAAAGTATTACAGAAAGCTAGATTGATCTGCCATAACTTTTGGTTCAAATGAATACTTGAGAATTTAAATTTTTTACACGCACTTTGGTTAGCCTTGGCTTAAACACGCAAGGGATGAACTAAAACTTCGTTCTAAGGTTTGATTAAATAAATTTCAGATGATTCAAGATTTAGTTGCAAATATTATTCTTCTTCAGAGAGAATAATATTTTGTTTCTAACGTAGTTAGGTGAAGTAAATCGAATCAGATCCAAATTCAAAGTGATCAATTTAGTTAAAAAATTATTATTTATCAATCGGAGAAAATTTGACAATGGCCGTGTCAACTTTTTTTGGGGACTTCTTTTAAATATTCTAAACTAATTTGTTATACAATATTTTAATGCACGAGTATATTACAGTTTAAAACAAGACGAAATGAAATCTCTCTCTTTTTTTTGATAAAGCTCTCATACAAATTAATCGATCAAAATTAGGTAGTAGCATGGAAATCTTTTTTATTTCAACAGATATCTTCGCAAAATTTGGTATGAACTTTTATACAAAAAATTGCTACAATCTCTGAAATCACGGTTCAGATGCGACGACTATAGCATTTAGCTTTCATCCAAATTGATCGATTAAAACCAAGTTCTTATATGGGAAACTCTTTGATTTGTCTAGATATCTTCATGAAATTTGGCGCGGATTATTCCCTAAGACAATGCTATAATTTCTAAAAATATTATTCAGATCGAATCACAATAAAATATAGCTGACACACAAATTAATCGATCAAACTTAAGAGCTTGCATAGAAATCTTTTTTATTTGAACAGATATCCTTACGAAATTTGGCATGACCTTTTGTCCAAGACAATGCTAAACCTTTTTAAAATACTGTTTAGATCGGACCACTATAGCACATAGCTTTCATACAAATTGATCGATCAAAATCAAGACAGAAACACTTTTATTTGATAAAATGTCTTCAAGAAATTTGGCACGAACTTAAGTGCAAGACAATGATGCGATCTGAAAATTACTTATATATTATATATTATAAAATTATTTAGATCGAACCACTATAGCGTATAGCAGCCATACAAACTGACCAATCAAAATCAATATTAATATCTTTTTATACACTTTTATGATATAAGAAATGCTCTTATGAAGGGTGTTATGCTTGCTATTTTGAAAAATAATTTAAAATGCCTTCTTAAATGCAATTAATCCATATCCACACAAAAAACGTTTCGCCTATTGCCT